ATGGGAGTACTTCAGGTGCCCTTTACAGATCACAACTTCCTGCAGCGGACACACCTGGGGTTCTCTAAAAAATAAGGGTACCATTTTGGGGGTCCCTATAATAAGGAGTATAGTATTTGGGGTCTATGTTTCGCCCCCCCTATGTTGGGAAACTACCAAAAATTATAAGCCCCTTTATCATCCTAGCTTCCATTTCATGCTCTATGTTCTTTTCCATTCGATTCTCCATTATTGGGGATAGCATCCCTATAGGCAGCCCTATCAAGGGACTGCCAACTACAACTTCGTGCAGGCCCTGCGGCACTGGCCGTGAAGCCTTCCACTGTGTTGGGTGCTGGTCTGGGCCTCTTTGCTGCGGAGGCCGGCGGCAGTGCAGGAATTGCTTGGTGGGGGCGCATTAAAGCGGCTTTAGTGATTATGGTCTGTGATGTCTGAATGCCTGAAGTCCTAAAGGTACCCTATGATGTGCAAGGACATGTAAAGACGCTGTCTCAGAATGTAGGCATTTTTTTCTGCAGAAGCTTGTTGTGTAAAGGTTCAACATTGCATCCACAAAGGGCATGACAAGTCATGAGAGCGCGCGTGTTGAGTTCTTGCCGCATTGGGAAGACTTGTGTGTTGTCAAGGCTGCACTCATGAAGTGTGGCTGGAGCTTCGAAAACGCGCACCAGCATGTCGCATGTGTGCCATCTGGCTCAACGTGTAGTCATAAGTGGACGTAGCTGCTGCACAGTATCTTTGGAGCTCTTTGTAAGCCCTCCTCCCCAACCTTAGTCATAGTCATCATGCAGCAGCCAGGACCGCCGCGGGGCGCTGTTGCATTCGCGGATCATGCAATCTTGCTCCTCACGATGGTTTCTCTTTTCAGTCTTCCCTGTGCAGGACAACAGGCGACCGAACTTGCTCTGCAAAACTCCGTCAGCGCTGTGGTGGCGCGCATCCGTGCCCGCAGCTGTGGCACGCCGATGCCCTTCGCCTCGCAAGTGCCCGTCCAGAACTCCGAGTCTGGTCGAGGAGACTGCGCACAAAGCAGACATGTAGCTCAGCATGTCCAAACTTCTTAAGGCCCCTGATTGTTTTGCAACGCATTGTTGAGGATACACGCTTGGTCGTGAGTACCCGTGCATGGGCAACGGCTCCGCGCTGACCAGCATCCTTGCGCCTGTGGGTGTGAGCTTGACTTTCTGCGTCATAGTGGGCAAGTCCCTGCACATGTTTGGCAAGTGAGCCTCTCCAGCATGATGTGCGAGAGGACCCGGCAACAATCCTGGCCACCACGTGTCGTTGTGCCTTTGAAAATTCCACTCAAGCAGTACAGCTAAGATGTACAGCGCCCTGCCTGGGCAAGGCAACCTAATTCATGGCCTCACACAGAGCCATGAACACAACATGCAACTCTGCGGTGCCCCCTGTTTGCCACCAATGTTGGCAACAGGTCGGGGTGCGCAGCAGCGTGCTCTGCCGTAAGGTAGGGGCGTGCCGCAACAACAGACCAAACAGCCCAATTGTGAGAGACAAACAGCCGTACCGCTTGCCTTTTGCTGAGGTTTCCTGGCATGTAGCATGCGACGATAGTTGCTTTGTGCTTGGCATTGCTTCTGGGCGGTTTGCTGCCACACTGCTACTGCACATCGTCGCGGTGTGACGCGGTGACGCATCCAAGAGATGGGCAAAAGTCATAAGAGTTCCGATCAGGACGCAAACATTTTTGAATCGGGTGCCGGGCGGCCGACTTGTGCAGGTTAGAGGTGATAGGCCTGCTTTTTTGGGGTTTGGGCATTTGATGTGGAGCGTCAAAAGAGGGCAGCTGCCTAGCTTCTGGTGTACAGGGTGCAGGCCAGAGGGCTCAAAGCTGTGATCTGCCAAGTCGATCGATATGCGGTGTTGATGTCAGAGTCAGATTGAAAGCAGCCCAAAACGTTCATGTCGGGCACTGCAGCTGCTTGTTAAAAGCCACACGCAACGCACTTTATCGATGAAGGACATAGAAAAGTACACCGTCATCGGCGAGTACAGCGGAGAAGTCAAAAACTTGGCAGCCAACTCAACTGCTGGTTGCCAGCTGCCATCTTGCTCGCTGGGCATGCAGCTACATAGATACAAGACCCAGCATTTCTGCGCAATGCCCTGCTGCAGCTTGTAAGAAAGCATCAGGAACTGAGGCTTCCTATGGTGCCAAAGTTGATCGGCTTGGCCTCTCGGATGCACAGCTAAGCTACATGGGCAGCGTCAAGACACCATGGGCCCGGCCCCAAGTCTGCCAACTCTGCCAGAAAAGGGGTCAGCTGAGGCCACAGTGAGCTGCATCCATTCTACTTGCGGCCAGGTCTTTTGGTACCTTACTCAGACGCTGCAAACCAGGTAGAACAAAGCACTTCGGCAGGCTCCAGCCCTTGCTACAGGTAGACCCTACAGATGCGGATGGATGCTTGCATCCAGAGTCTTTGTGCGGTCCTCAAGCTGAGTCAGTCATACGCTTTGCTAACACTGTCATGCAGACGTCTGGCAGGTCAAGAGTGATTAAGTGGAATGCACGTGGCACTTGAGATCTTTGCCAGTGTGTATCCGCAGACATCTGGCTGGAAGACGCTGGAAGGATGTGCCTGTACATAGACTTCTTTCATGGCACATTCAAAGCGTCCTGGCCCTGAGATTCCGGGAGCATCCAAGAAAGCCCGAGCGGAGAGAGAATCTCGACTCAAGAACTCAAGGCAGACACGGTCCCAATTTCGGTCCTTTGGATCACAGGCCTGTTGGTTTCACGAAGCTCAACTTTGAGCACGTGCCTGTGTTTCCGTCGTCTGAAAACTTTGGCAGTAAGACTCTTAGCATCTCCTGCAGAAAAATCTGCTAATATAACCCACTATAGTAGTTTCCATTTGATTTTCCATTATCCCAATATGACCCCAATATACTATAGTAGTTTCCATTTTCTTTTCCATTATCCCAATATAACCCCAATATACTATAGTAGTTTCATATATCTGTATATTTTTAGGGCAAAGTAAGGAGCCCGAGGAGGCGGACAAAGCTTCCTGGTTGGCGCTGCTCGGTGCACAGCTGCCGGCGAGGGAGCAGCCCTGCTGAATGGCGTTTGTTACCGTTTGTTCAACATGTCGGGGAGCTGGTAGGGGGTTCCTAAACTTCGGGGTACTTTTTGGAAGTCCTTATGAGAAGGGTTACGGCCCATGGCATTTTGGGGTCTATAGCAGCCAAGTAGCAGTTGTCACAGCATCATCCACTCCACATGTTAGTTGCCCTCTCTTTTGGTCGCTCTCCATCAGTTCACTTCACTTACACTTACATGTGAAGTGACGAGCTCTCAGAGACACGGGTTGCCATTACTCGGTACACCTCTCATTTGGTTCTGTTTGTGGATTGTCTGCTATGAACTCAATCACCAGTCCGGTTACGCCCACTGCAATAGCCTTTTCTGTGATTTGTCCTGCGCGAACCAGCTAAACTTACTGAAAGGCTGGCACTTGCGACAGATTGCGGCGGCAGTGTCGGCCCAGTTTCGGCTGCCAAGCTGAATATGCGGCCAACCTTGTTATTTTGTTGCCTTCCCGTACTCACTCACTCGTGGTTTACAGAGCGTGCCTACAAACAATGAGGCACTGGCAGACCTGGGGGTGCCGTTCAGGCACATCTTCGCATGTGAATCCGATCCCTCCAGTTACGCAGCTGCAAGGCAAACAATATGAGGACAGTCGAGCAGTTCTCAAGCTAGGGTTTGGCTGTATGCCGACAACTTAGTTTTTGCTGTCTCTGCAATAACAGGGCATGGCTTTGGTAAGCCTCGGTTGTTCTGTTTTTGCAGCTTGAACCTGTTCAAGCTTGATTGCTTGCATTTCTGGCAATTGGCTCCTGGCGACCGAGTTTTCTGTTGCCACCCCCACCCGCACTCATCGCCCCCACTCCCAGCCCCACCCCGCGCTCCCCCCGCTCCCTCCACGGCCGCCGCCGCCGCCGCCACCACCACCACCACCACCACCACGTTCTCAAACAACTTCACCACAAGGGGATTGGATTTCCGCAAGAAATCGAGGGTTTCCCCAAATTAGGGGCACCTGTTTTGGGTGTCCCTATAAGATACTGCTCTCCCTTACTTAGTCTTACCAGGATTAATTAGAGCTAGTTACGGGGGTAAGAAATGACGACTTTTTTATGTCTGTTGTGGAGCGATCTTAGTTGGCTGTTGGCACGCACTTGTAGTGTTCTTGAGGTCCTTACTGGGCTCTACACCGCATGATGACAATTGACACGAGGAAGACCACCCAATGTATTAGTTTCCCCCAATATAGACTACAATATGCTACAGTCCATAGGGGAGCAAGCCCTAAACCCCAAACCCTAAGTAGAAGTTTCCATTTTCCATTATGTCCATATGACCCCAATATAACCGGAACAATACTCCAACAAAGCAAGAATTTCAGGTCAGCAGCTCCTGGCTTCGCAGGCAGACTCCAGACCAGAACGAAGCTTTGGCAGAATCAACCTAATCCTCTCCCTCTATAGTACTTAAACCCCCACCACTAGTACCATCACATATTAGGGGAATACCTATAATTTGGAAGATGGTGATTAGAAGCTGGAACGAATAAGACTTGTATCCGGGCTTCGCCTTGGAAACTTTTGGGTATTTAGATCGCGGGTTTTTTCTTGCAGCTGAAGGCAGCCGAGTCTTCTGATTAGAAACTTTTTGGGTTTAGGGTTTAGTGGCAAGCCTGGTAAGGTCAGGCACGCTCTGCCAGTATCATGGGAAGAATACGGAAGAATCACTCCACGCCACGCCCTTTGAGAACCCCTCCCACCCCTCAGGAACACCGACGCCTTAGTAGGGACCAAGGGAGCTAGGGTGTACTGAAGTTTCAGGGAGGCCGGGACGAAGTGACTATTCCTGTGATAGTATCAAAGTTGCTTTGGAAGTCCTGGTCTTTGCTGTGCGCCTTCCACTGCATTCCTAGATTTATTCGTATTACCAAGGACTTTTTGGCAGCATGATCGGCAGGGACCGTGGTTGCTACTGCCTTGTCTCGGGTCGGTGGATGCCCATGCCGAAGGTGGCCAGTGGGCCACTTTTGGGGTTATCACTGGGATTGTAGTATCTCGGATGTATGCAGAAGCCATGATTTTGAGCTTGGACCCTGCAAAGGTGCAGCCAGACATTTACATCTCCAACGCTGGGACGCATGGCCCGAACCCAGACCGTTTCTTTGCGGCAGTGAAGTACATCATGGAGTACCAGCCTCGAGTGGTAATTTTGGAAGACCTCGTGGCCGCCTGCAGACAGGACCCACTCCGGATTGATGGCAAAGTCATTGTAGGTCTTACGGAGCATAGCACTTCCCAGTTGCATGATGCCAGATATCCTGAACGTTTGCACAGGTGGCGCAATTGCAGAGTTTTGCTTCTGATGACAGGACCCGCAGGGGAATCTTCCAGCAGATTCTATCCTGGCTCTTCTTGAACAAGCCGGAGATTATGAGGTAGATGCCTTCCAGGCCATTGACCTAGATGCTTTGCCATGTTTTTTCTTGTCGGATTGCATGCCTGAGGTATTGGCCTCGCACTACGGGCTGCCCCAGCGGAGACAACGAGTTTACTATGCCAGGAGCTTACGGTTAAGATCAGTGCAATACGAGTTTTCCCCAATATGTTTGGTGCAGTTCGCTGCAGAATTTCAGCTTGCAGACTCTGGTATTTCTGTTGCACAGCTGATCACGGCTGCCAAGTGAGCACTCCCGAATGAGGTCATGGTCGGTCGACAATTTCTTCATCCTGCCAGAAGATCTGAGAGTGCTCGAGAGGCACACGGTACAGCATGCTGCTGACTCTTTCCAGACATGTGAAGACGCAGCAAGGCTGAAATTCCCTAGCTCTGGGAGTTTAGCAGGTCTTCATTTTTGTTGCATCATCCAAGCGAAGTGCCAGATGCTGTTGTTTTTCATGAGCTGCAGCACAGGCCTACCTCGAGCGAGTCAGAGATGGCCTTGAGCAGCTACATGTCCACGTGGCTCCTCATTTGCTGATATAAGTGTGATGCGTAGGTCCAGCTTGCAGGAAAGCATTTAAATTGTGTCACAGCCTGACCCCTCGTGACACGATCTCGGCTAAGAATATCATGACTTCCGCTGCTTGCTCCCTGCGTTGGCTGCCAATGGCAGTTCTCAGCAAACGCGTCACAGGAACCTCTAGCCATTGCCTAGGCACCGATTGGTGCAGAAAAAGTGGCAGGCAACCAGGAAACTAGAAATTCCAAGGAAGAGGCAAACAAACCCATAAGAAAGAGCATAATGTCGAGGAAGCCTGAAATCAATCTTACCCACAGCTCAGGCCAGCACCAGCCCAAGCCTGGACGCGGAAGACCTCCTCAGCGAGGGCGACCCACCTGGACCAGCGGCCAGATCAGCCCTGGCAAAGGTGTTATTGTTATTGCTTCTGCCTAGGAGCTCGCATGAGAATGCAAGCCTTCAAGACTTAACCAATAATCTGGCTTCATCCCCTTGAAACCTCTTGGTCCCATCCCTGCTGGCAGAGCCCACCGGCATCAATCAGTGAAGACAACTGCCCTGGTATGGTCCCAGACTTCTTTCCGTCAGCATTCAACTGACTAGGCAGAAGAGAAACCGCAAGTAGGCAAAGGACTGGCAAGGTCGAAGGAGGAATGAAATGGGTGATAATGCGTGTAATCCAAAGTTAAGAATTTGTTCAGCTGACAATAGCCCAGGCTCTCTGCTGCCGATTGAATTCAGATGCAAGCGACGCAAGTGCTGGGACCGGTGGGCTCCATTTGTCATGTCCCGATACGGTGCATGGAGGAAATCTTGCGGCAGCTAGGCGGTGCAAGATTGCCTCCATCAACAGTAGGGGTAGACTGCGGATCCTCACTAGCAGGAATTGACTGCTTTTGAGCGATTCTACAAGTAGGTTAGGCTATGCCGGCCATAATAGATTTTAATGGCAAGATGTGCATTCTTCGCCTACATCCTCGCGGAGGTTGGTTTGGAACATAGCAAGGGAGATGAGGAGCCAGTGGCCAGAGAGGTTACTTGCAAAGCTTGCAAGTTTGATGTGGAAGCGTGGCCAGCACTAGGACGGTACAAGGCGGTACTGGAGAGGGCTTTACCATCAAAGCTCCAGCTTGCAATTTGGAGGACTTCATCGACCGATGACGAGACGTCGAAAGGGATCGAGTCGCTTCTAGCAATGAGCGCAGATGATTCTTGACAAGTTTGGGAAAATCAGCTGTGGCTGCTTTGCACCTGGAAATCTTTAGACTTTAGACTCTGTAGTCACCCATGATCTGTATTTCAAGGCCAGCTATTTACACAGACGACTTCGGCACGAGCTTCGACTCCCGGCCGACGATCGTACCTACTTCTCTGAAGCAGGCCCACAGCTGGCCAAGTACCTGGACAGATAATTGCTCAGTCTTCCATGTTCTTGTCCATTTGATTCTCCATAATTGGGGTATTCATCCCTAAGCCGTTTATAATCCCTATACAGCCTCTATATACCACACATACATTGCTAATCCCGCATTAACAGTTAGTAGTGGGGTATGCTTGCTTCCTACATTGCGAGCATTCAAGGTGGCTTCGCACCTAGCGGGGGGGCCGCCTAACCCTCTATACTCACTATATAACCGGAATATACCCCCCAAACAAAAAAAGATAGTATTAATCCCTATCCCTGGTATTGATCCCTGAATACTCCTAAACCCTAAAACCCCATAGAACCCTATGTTTGTATTCGAGGTGGCTTCGCACGTATCGGGAGGCGGACCTTTGTCAGATTCACTGGCTTCGCGCCCGGAGCCAGGGGCGCGAGATACGTTTCGTCTCCATCTCTCAGGATGGGATAATTGGAGCTATAGTCTAAACTCCTTATAGGGGGTTATGTAGGGGAAATATAGGGGAGTACTGTAGGTACTGTAGAGGCTATTAAGGGGGATACCAGGAGTTTAGACTATGGTTCATTTGATGATAAGTACTCATAGGGGCTAACGTTGGGTTATATGAGGGGATATGTAGGGATGAATACAGATTGCTATATGGGAGGGATTGTGGAGGGCTTATGGATTCATACCCCAATAACGGAGAATCAATTGGGACATGAGATGGAAACTAGGATTACATAGAGTGAATATGGTTTGTCAAGCTGACTGCAGACAAAGTTAGTTGCTGTCCATCCCGCAACTCCGCAAACACTGCCACTGAAGCACCCTAAATCCTAAACCCCAACACCTAAACCCTAAAAAAAGCCGAACTCCTAAACCCTGAGTCCTAAACCCCAAAGCCGAAGCCCTGAAGCACCAGGATGCGCACCGAGCATCCCTGAGCTTCACGGGAGAGATTCCTCCACTGGCTGCCAATACCAGGCTTTGGTCCTACAGGCCAAGGGTTTAGGGTTGGGGGTTAAGGCCTTTGCGTTGAATCTGAATCCACCGGCTGACAGCGCACAGGATGGTCCATGCCTGGATGTAGGAGCCAACGCAATAGGTGAAGGAAGGGTAAAAGGTCATATGATATCAACAGAGATCAGGTATAACTCCTATACAATCCCCATGTTGCCCTTACATATAGCAGGGCGAGAAGTACGCGCAAGGATAGTGCGTGATCTGCACAGAAAGCAGTACCTTTCATGCCCCAATACAAAAAGTATATGCTACAGGGAGATATGGGGATCTATGTAGGGATAGAGGGGTGGATGTATATGGATCTAGGATAGGCATACACATGCGCGCTTGGCACAGAAACCACTCAGACACGGATGCCTTCGCGGAGCCCCTGAGGCTGCAGCGCGTACTCCGCGGGCAGGAGATGATGGTGCTTCAAGGCTACTGCTGAAGTATAGACTAAGCATAGTCCTCCGCACTTGCACTAGCATAGCCATGCTATAGTCTAGTTTTGCAGGTTAAACAAACTCTGTCCTTGTCAAATTCTTATCATCTCCGTAGTGCTTGTGACGGGAATTGTTGGCAGGCTTCAAGCCGCAGCATTGGCGCTTGGGATCCCTCTCCGAGTCGACAGTCAGCCGCATTGCGGGTAGCGCAATGAGTGTCCACATGACCCGGGCTTTCCTCGGAATGGCTGAACATTGCAGTTTCCATGTTATTCTCCATTATCCCTATAGCAGCCTATATTATATCCCTAATATGTTATACTAGTTGTCATTGGCTTTCTTGCGAGTGTTGTTGCATGAGTGACTCTCTCATGCCCCTACTTATTGTGGCTTGGTTGTAGATGACCTGCGCAGGATTGCAGCCATTCTCGCTTCCGTGTTGGCCAGTGTCGACCTCAAGGCCCCGTGCTTCGTTCGCTGACTCACAGGAAGGGCAGTTTGATTTCAGTGTTTGAATGTTGTTGCCCAAAACTCCTTGCGTGTGCTGCTCGAGTCATTTAAGATTTCAGGCGTATTGTGTTGCATTGTCGCGTGCATTTTTGAATCAGGGGGCAGCTAGCAGCCTTAAGACAAACTTGCTGGCCCTTTTCATGGTATGAGAGCATGCAGAACCTTTATGAAGATTCCTGGTTGTGTGATTGAACGTGTAACATTCCTTATTGAAAGATCTTGTACCCCATGGCATCCCCCTGCCAGGCTATTGAATTCCCACAAAATCCTTGACAAGACGTATGCTTCTCATATCTTCTCATCAAATCCCAAAAGAAGAAAATTTCGAGCAGTCAATCACACCTTGCATGTTCCCCACACAATCCCTAACATGGATTCTGCAAATCGCATACCTGGTTTTTACATCCATTCCTGTTCTTACCTTTTTGCGCTCCCTGCAGGGAGATTTCTCCAAAGACATCCAAGGCAATCGCAAAGGGGACCCTTATGATTCCCTTTCAATCCATGCATACATGTCTGTGGTTTGCTTAGGGGCTGAATTGCTTCAAAACACCCAGCAAGCGCAAACCGTACGTCCCAGGTTCTAGGCCCTTGAAGCCCTAAAGCTCCAATCACCTTTATTCCTGAATCCTAAACTTGGTTTTCAGTGTATGTCGGTCAGGCTCCAGTGGAGGAGGCACGCCGGCGCACCATCAGCCTCGCCGAGCTGCGAAGCAGGTGCAATGGGTAAGGCTTCAAGGTGCTTTCTTAGATTTGAGGGTTTAAGAGTCAAAGTTCACAGTTTTGAGTTTTTTCGTGAGTTTAGGCTGTTTGAGTCATAGAGACCTGTGAGTGTGGTGGGTCTTTTGGTGCGTAGTGAAGGCATCTTGAACGAGAGGCCGCTAGATGTGGAGATCGTGCGGAAAACGCTAGGTTCAACAGTAATCAGACGGCTCTTCAGAGAAGTATACAGACACTGACAGCAGCGATCAAAGGATTCTATGAGAACTTTAGCTGTATCATACCATGTTCAAAGCTGTTGGGAACTTTGGGGTCGTTATAGTTAGGACAGATGTCTGGCAGGTGTGAAAGAAGAAGCCTTTTGCTCAAAACCAAACATGGGACATTGGCATGGGCCAAAGTCAGCAAGATCAAGATCATATTCTCTTTTTGGCGGCAGTCTGCTAGAAGAGTAGAACAAACCTACCTTGTCCCAGTCTATCCTAGCAAAATAAGAGCTACGGCTCGCATTGGATGATGTAAGCAGTGGGGAACCATCTGCGGATTTTCTGACCTTTTAGAAAACATTCTTGACGCATCCCCAGCTGGGCATGTAGAAATGGGAGAGAGAGACAAGTCTTTTTTGGCTGTTGCAACCTGAGGCGTGTTTTGCACCAACCACAAGGAAACGAACAAACTTTGCACATAGTGCACAGAAATTTCGCCTCCGCAATCTGTCAGTGGAGTCTTTCAAGGCTGTGCTTATAGAGCTTGAAAGCTGCTTTGCCTGAGGCAGGTGATATTTACATATATGTGTGTTGGAAATTAGCACCCTTGTATATGCACTGCCCCCAGAAATGCCGTCCGTTACCGTAAGAAACCCAGCCCCGACATATCCAGCAGCAGACCTTGGCAGATACGCGGGGATTCGGCAGCGCCTGAATGGGTTGCGCCGAAATGCGAGACTTGGAGCATAAATCTCTGCAGGCAGAAAAGGCACCAAGCGCATGAGTTGCCGCAGTGGTTTGCACGGTGTAACAGCAAAGAGCACTCAAGTCCTCTCTGCTTCATACTTCGCATCCCTTCGAAGAGTGATCAAAGGCTTTCGGCAGGCTTCATCAAGGGTATCCAAACGTCATGATCTCATCACGGGCATCAGCGAAGCGCACGCCGACTCACAGCGGTTGTGAGAACGGTCGCAGAAGGTGAGACCCCATGGTCTGCCCCTGTTGGGCTCGAAAAGCTTCAGCCAAAAGATCCACTGAAAGACTCTTGATTCGTATTCAGCTGGCGATTGCTCTCCAAGGTCCATGGCCTTTACCAATGAAGCGCCGCCTGGTGGAGAGTGCCCAGACGGGGTGCATATGCAACACCATGTATGGTGGCTGTATAGCCAGTTCTGGAGGGTATCATACCTCCCCCCATGATACACCACTGCTGGAAAATTCTGGAGCCTATCCTAGGGAAGTTTGAACACGCAGGCAGGATCAAGAATGGGGTCATGGGCAATGCATTGACAGGAGAAGAGTTTGGTGCTTGCTGTACCTCCGGATCTGCGGGAGCTGTCGTTTTGGGTAGGATCCGAAGGTACAACACGTTGGCGCTCTACTGCCTGAGAGCTGGACTGCCTCCCGAACTGGCCTCGGGGGCTCTTGCCAGGATTCGAGGCTTCCGGTTTCTTGCATCGAAGACATTCAAAGACGTCTTCACCGGAACCCACCATGCTGTGAATGGGTCCCCGTGTTCTGGAGAGGCTGGTAGTGATGAGCTTCGCAAGAAATGTGGTGAAGAGAGCCTGTGATCCGGTGTGCTATGGCAAGTACAAGAGTGGAGATGCCACGAGTCACCTTGAGCGATGATTACCACTTTCTTTGCGGGAGCCTAGGCTGTTTTTTTCTGCACGCGAAAGCTGGTTCATGCGGGGAGTGCTGCTCAACTGCACCAGAGCGCTCAACACAAGCCTGCTGCAGATGGTAGGAAAAGAGCTGCCATGATCCAAAGCATTCAGATGGTTCTCAGGAGCTCTTCGTATGCTACGGCTACGACCATCCTCGCCAGTATCCTTTCGCATCGCTCCAATTTTTCTCGGGTTCATGATGCGATGTTGTCCTTCTGTCCCCTTAGTGTAAGCCGAGCCGAATGCTTTTCATCTTTTATTGGTGAGTTGTCGCTGAGCTGCAATTTTTTCGTAGGATGCAGCTCAGAGTCGCGCAGCAAGCCTGAGGCAGAGCCAGATGCGGCGGCGGATGCAATGCAGCGGCACGAAATTTGTTTCAGGCAGGCTGCTATGGATGGTTGTGCGTAGAGTAAGAATTTCTTCGAAGACAACATTCATTCAGGTTGTAATTTGAGTACACGGCACCCTGATGGTGAAAAGTTCCAGGCACCCACAACTATGTCCGCATTTTCCTCCACCAGAGGACACGGTCGACCGGGCAGTCATGCCTGAGGAGCGGGGAGGTGCAAATTCAGATGCTGGAAAGAACAAAGTCAGGCAACCTGAAGTAGGAAGCAGTAAGCGCGTCGGAGATCATCCCCGTGCCTTTTGCGCCTGTGCCAAAGTGTTCAAAATATCACACCGATGCGCCGCTGACAGGAGCAAACGCAAGTAGCTCCAGGTCCAGCCGGTCCAGCTGTTTCCGAATTTGAGGCCCCGGCATTCGCAGCAACCGGCACATATGATCACCAGATGCTCTGGTGATCAGTAAGGTGTCTAAAGCCAGGGCTTTCAATCAGGAGGGGTCACAACCTGTGCATTTGCCTTGTTTGGCCAGGTTGGAACGGAACAATGGAGGACGGACCTCTCGGATATTGTGTTGCCAACACCGGCGTATGATTCTGATTCCGATTGACCTACTCGCAGCACTCTACGGCTATAGCGAAAAACCCAGCAGCTGAACGAACAGCTCGGGCGAACGCCCTTCGTCTGCATCATCTTGAAGGAGAACCTCCTGAAAGGCCGCGCAAGGAATGACTTGGACGGCTCGCTTTCGCATGCAAAATATCAGCATCGCCGTGAAGACAATGCACATTCTCAGATAATGAAGGTGGGAAATGGAAGGTTGCGTGATAAGATGAGATCATAAGAGATCATGAAACATTATAATTCAGGGCAAAATATATGTGTTTATATCACTGGGGTTCCCTTCAGAGCCCTCGTTCGCAGAACTTTTGCGAGTTTCGGGGGGGGGGTTTGCGGCTCGCGGAACCGTCATATCACGTCGGATAATATTTGCGCGGATAACCTTCGGATTAGCCCAGGGGAAGCACCCAAAGAAAAACGATATATATATATATACATAT